GTGCTAATCAAAACAAGGACTATAATGCCTGCTTTAATGGGGTTTGTCTCAATAATGCTCCTAAATGGAATAAACYACATTAAACCCAGACAAGCTACAAAGAGAGACAAATGGCAAAACAATACACTGAAAACTCAAAAATTCTTTTAATCTATTATTAACTGAGTTACCATCCATGACATTCACAGTTAACTGYGGTTTTGTAATCCATTTGCTGATTTATACAACTAAAATAGAAATGTTGCTGTCCTTCTCTTTAAAACAACAGACTAAACAAGGCCCAAATTAACCCACAAAATGGYCTGGCAAAGACCATACTAGAACAGGCTGCATATCTGTTTTCTTCTTTAAAATGCAGGAAAGCAGCTCCTCTGGAGTTTTTTCTCAAAGTAGAGGGAATCTGACTCCACTGAGGTAGAGGCAATCCTGCACATAAGATGAGCCTGTGTGCACCACAAGAAGGATGCCCTTGGAAAACAAAGGACCCCACACTCTCTCTCACTGACCCAGTGCTGCAGGGACAGTCCCCAAATGACACCCAYAGGCTTTGGGTTATCCTCCTAATATTTACAGGAAGAGGCACTGAATGCCAGGAAGATGAATTCATCACCATCCTCCACCTCCTCCTCCTTGTTGCTTTAGCCTTACTCATCCCCCCTCTGCATATGCTGACCAGACATCCTGAATTTCTTCAGCTTGATACCTCAGAGGATCAGTTACTTTTGAATCCCTCAAAAGCAAGAAAATAGGCTTTCTAATGCATCTCTTTTGCTGTATTTCTCACACTGCGATGGGAGGATCTACAGTGGCCGAGGGGGAACGCAGACTATCGCATTTTGGGCAGATCCTTCAGGAAGAGGTAACAATTTACTGATAAAATGACAGCCGAGGTTTAGAGGTAGTGACACTTTTATGTTTGTTTAGATGCATGAGTGAAATATTTTCAGGGGTCCAGTCTTAAAAGGATGGATTAGCTCTTTATGGTATACACAAAATGTGAATCATGCATCTTATCTTGAAGGAATTTTCAATAAAGATCTTCACAGACTGAAGCTGTAGCTTAGGGAACATAAAATTCATTCTGTAATTAATGAGTTCCCCCCAGTATTATGGAGAARGAATTCCTGTGGTTTTATTGCTTTTGTAAAACGCTTGTTCTCCTGCTCTGAAGGGATTACAAAAGGTCAGAGGTGTTGAATATACATGATTTATAAAGTGCYCTGGGATGAGATGTGCCATGTAAATATAAAATATTATTAAAGCATACTCTCTTTAATTCACATGCACTGAAATGGAATTGGCTGTGCCACAGGAGCAGAACTGAGAACCCAAGCCAGCCTGATGACAGCAGCTTGTCCAAGGCTACTGACAGGGCAAACAGCACAAGTATAAATWCATTTCACAGACATATTTACCCAGTGCTGAAAGTTACTGCAGTTCATCTGGAACTGGCTATATGTAGATGTGAATGTGAAGACTGTGTTACACAGTGATGAACAGGCAAACACTGGGGACTGCTCTGTACCATAATCAAAAAGTGGCTTCTGACAAAGCTGCAGGCACAGGAGCAGCCCATGCAGCCCATCCACCRTGTGCAGAAACCCTGCCTTACACAATTCTGCTCTCAAGTGTATGCCACAGATGCTTGGGATGCCATGGTCCTCACGTACTCTATAAAGTCACACTCAGTTGGCACTTTCAGCCTCAAAATATGCATCCTATTTACCCCTGGCTTCGATGGAGCCTTCCGAGTTTCCCTTGCAGATTTGAACCTTGAGATTGGTTCAGTTCCAGCTACATCTGTCCAAAGGGGCTTCTGAAAACACAGAGAACTGAACTAGAATGAGCTGAACTGGACAAGCAGTCCYATTCCCTCTCAGGGAAGCATTAATTATGCTTTCAACCCACTTTTTGGGATTGACTCCAATTTCTCTTTTTCTTCTGTCCACAATGGTCTATATTTTCACACTGCAACAAAGAATCAGTTTGAAGTAGATATCAAAATATTTTAACAGCTGGAGCAATGACATTCTTACTCGACTTTACTGTAAATGGAAAAATTCCCATTCCCATCCCTCAAAGACAGAGATTGCAGATCATATTCTGAATTCTTTTCAAAACCTTGTCCAAAAGATATCACCAGCACAGTCTGTTCCTCTTCACATTATTATTCYCACTCTCACAGATTCTTTTATCTAATTCCCTTCCGCCCTGAAGTTTACAATCTCCTTCCAAAAATTTTTCAACTGCACTTCCCTTCTCTTAAACTCCCTCTCTCTCATCAGCTTTTAAATAACAYGACTTTATTTTAGAAAAATGATGCTGTGAATTCAGCACTGCAGAGCAATTGGTTCCTACCTTTTTCCTTGTGTTAAAACACAGAATCTAATTTTAGATCCTCTTTTTTTTAAAAAAAAGGCACAATGCAAAAGTATATGAGATCCTGCTCATAAAGGAAAAAAATGAAGCTCTCACTTTTGACTGTATTCATGCTTTCCCATGAAAATTGATACATCTGTCTGGGAGATAAAGGAGATTTGGATTATCTGTATTCAAAAGAATAATTACAAGAAGTTRTTGCATAAAATGATTACATTTTCTAGCAACACAAGTTTGATTCTGTGATAATGTTAAAGCTATTCTCATCTATGCTAAACACTTCTCATCCACACAAAAGGGGCTCTTAATTTCCTCTGTACTGAGAAAAATGCCATTGTATTTTCTCTTCACTGATGATGTTTAATATTTGGTTTCTTCTACTTTCTTTAGATATTTAAATAGATTTGCTCATTTGGTTTTAGCTAAACTGCTGTAGCAGTGGCAGGCARTAACACTCTTAGGGCTACACTACACATGATTAATCTTTGTTCCAGCTGAGAGCATTTATCATCTGGGGGTTACCCTTCCCATTTGACTTTTCTTTCTGTTTTTAGTTTGCCTTTCCTATCTAAGGAGARCAACAAAAATCTGTATGGGTTTTTAACCTAGGGAATGACATTTTTAGCTCTGAGGCCTATGTGTAAATGTAAATTTCCAGCTGTTGGAACAAAGAAATAGCAAATGTGAGGCAGATGTTAATATATTATCCATTGCTGGTAAAAAAAGCAAAAACCAACTTTGAAAAATCCCCCAGCTATGCCAGTAATGAAAGCTTACTCGCTTGGGCATTTACTTGTAGCTGTGCTTACAGAACTAAGATCTAACAAGTTTCTAGCAATCCAGGGAGTCTACACAAATCCTCTGTGTTGCTTCTTCCTCTTCTGATATTAACAGTTCATGGGCAAGAACATACAGCCAATGAAATAATCTCCAGATGTTTCTCCTGCTTAGCAATCTGATGAACACCCAAAGATCATGTACTCCACAATGAAGCCAAGTGGAATCTGGGACAGTTTTGGACAGTCCTATGCTGTCTTTCATGACCACATTCAGCACCAAAAGTTAAACCACGTTTGGTTTCTATCAAGCACCACTTGAACATAAGTTTTCACGCACTTACAAAGGCAGTTTAGGCACAGCCAATGAGTAACCACACCGAGCTCCCTCAGAACTCTGCTTTCCTTTGAATCCACCAGCAGAAAAAAAACATAGCACATCCGTGAATGCAATAAGGTGCCTCTTGCTGTATCCAGTTTATTTGCTGCTTCTACTATCCTCTGTCACTCAGAAACTTCTGAACTGACCATCCTGGCACAGTGAACACAACTCATGTCATGGAGGAACATGGATATTCAGAGCGTACTTACAAGTTTAGGTTTCCCTCCAGAGAGTCTCCAGCCTTTGTTTAGCTCTTACCATAGCTCATCTCTTATCATCTTATCKCTCTCATCTGGCATCATCCTCCCCATAGACCTCAGATCCCCATGAAACCTGAAAAGTCCTTCATTCTAACATTAATACAGCAGCAACTTCCCAATGCCTTGTGTCAGGCACATTTGTGTTTGTAATTCCTTTCACACTAGGCAATTCATTAAGGGCTCTGTTTTGATTATCAAAAYGTGTGAACACAATTTTGTATCTCATCTATACAGGGTCACTCTTATGTCAGCTCGTTTCTGACTGTGACAGTCTTTTCCCATCCTAAAGGCAAAACAGTGTTTACATTTGGTTGGTTAAAATATTTACATTACACATTCAAATGATGCATTTTCCCAGTGACAGGGCTCTCCCTGGTATTTCCTCCTGTACCTAGCATGCAGTGGAAATGATTAAGATGAACATTCTGGGTGTCTCTAAACAGGCAGATAAAGGAAAAATGCAGCACAGCTACACCACATTAACATTGTTGGACTTTGTCACATGCACTGCATGAAAGCCTCTCTTTTAGGGCCCCAAAATCAGAAGAGTTCCATGTTTTCTAGTCACAGTATTTAATACAGAGTCTTCATTTATTGACAATTCATTTATTTGGCCACTCAGTGTGTGAGGGAGAGTAAAACATGACAGACAGCGGCCCTGGGAGAGGAGGTAAGAACGGAGCTGTTTGTTGATCACCAGTCTGCGTGTGGATAAAAGCCCTGAGTGCACCCTGTCTCCAGGGGAACAGAGATGATGAGGCTGCTACCCAGACAGAAAAGAGTGGGGAAGGAAAGGTGACACTAAAGCTGGCAGGGGAAGGCCACAAAGTGATGGTGTTTCTGGCAATCAGAAAACACAGTGGGCATTCCTGTTTTAATGTAACACTGCCAAGTTGAACGAAACACTGCGAATGATGCTGCACCAAAAGGTTCTCCAGACACACAGCATGAGCCTTTCCCCAAAGGGGCAGTGGGAGGCTCACAGCAGAAAAACTGAAATTCAACATAATTTAAGACATATCATCATCTACACAGCAAACAGCTGGTCTTGCTCATGTATTTGTTACTACCAAACAAGGAAGGAGAACCATATGCAAGTCTGAAAGGAAATTAGAGACAGAGCCCAGCAACTTCTCACACAGAAACTCTGTAGCAATGCAAAATAAAAATCATAACAAACAACACTTAAAGTGTATTTCTTACCTTATAACATCATCCACACARGTCTTCATACAGGCTCTCCCAAGGAGGAAGCAAAAGCTTCTGGGCTGAAAAGATCATGAAGCACTGGTTAAGACATTACCTCAAAACCCCTGCCTGTGCTTATATYCATCACAAACTCTGCCGCATCTTTTTGTTTACAGAAACATAAACAATAGACTGAAGTCGACYTCACAAGCAAAAGCTATTTATTTTAAATTGACCCGGCCCACTTAGTGTCATATACTCTGGAGGAAATGGGTTATAAAAGTCTCTGTRTAAGTGAGGCATGCAACATCTAGCAAATTAACATTTTGTGGGATTACTTAATGTGTGGGAGATTACTTTAATCCACTTTTTAAAACTAACAGCAAATGAAACTTGCTTGCCAGTTAAAACCCATCAGTAAAGTAACAGGCTCTACACCAGTATAACGCATGTTTTCAAAATAATAAATAACCAATTCTGATCTAACCTAAACCACATTTATCCACATATGTATTTCCTGATATGAGTGCTTTCAGTAAAGCATTCACTGAAAAAATGATAGAAATTGTAATCCTCTTAATTATTCTGTTTTCATGTTTTGGTTTATGCAGACAAGCTCTGATTTGGGATTTCCACGCTTGTTTGTCCCCAACACGCATAAGAAAATAATTGAAAGACAGAGAATCTAATATAGGGTCTCAATTCTTTCCCACGTGGAGGTAATGACCATAAATATCCCTCATTCAATAAGGTGAAAAACTATTAGGCAGGTCTAAATATGCTTACTATTGCTTTAAAATGCCCTTCTTTACTGTAGCAGGTGTTTTGTGTGTCCCTGTGTCCCTGATGCAAAGGGTATCACTACAATGCTGAAGCCCAAATGRCAGGATGTGGAACCCAGCATCATCYGMGCCTGCTGCCCAGCCTAGGGGACTGAGGAGTGGGGACACTGGGAAGCCTCAGTTTCCCTCTCCCTCAGTGAGGAGAGGCAGAGAAAGGCTGCATGGAGGAACAGGCTCCTTGCTGCCCACCTGGTGCCCGAACCAGTCCCACTCCCAAGCAGCCGGAGGGCTGCACAGCGATGAGTGGGGCGGACACTCCCGCAGAAAGGGAACGCCACAAATCCCTGGGCTGAGGGCCAGGGTAAACACAGATTCTGCATTCTGAGCCAGCAGCTWGCAGCCTCAGTTTTAATTCAGCACTTTGAAACGTGATTTCCTTTGGGCATCCTCGGGAATACAGTTTGCAGCGCTCAGCCCTTGGCTGGCCAGCCCACAAAGCCTCGCAGTTTTTGGCAGAGGAACGTCCAGGATGATGGGCAGCGGCTGCCGCTGTCACTAGCAGGATGTTTTCTGGAGTTTCTCCTACAAGGCAACGTGTTTATTCTTTGAAACAGTTGCTCCCTAAAGATTAAAATTGAACAGGAGCACAAAAGCAGCGTGTGTCCTCTGGGGCTGCTGCGTGCCATCGGGCAAACAGGAGGTACAAGCTGTGTTCTCCCGAGTGACACAGAACAAACGGTGCTGCGCTGGCAGAACGGAGTGAAGTTCTTCAGTACACAAAATACACCCTCCGCATTTTAACCTCTTCTTAGAAAACAACTTTCAAACGCCACTTGTGTCATTAAGAGTTCCACCTCTGGAGCTGTGTGGGGGGTCTTCAACACAGCTGAGGCTGTTCACCCCAAAAGCATGACAACCTGGGCACACAAAATGAACGACAGCCACAAGACCATGTTCATTATCATCCACAGATAGCAGAACACACTCCCAAAAACAGACTTAGCAATCATGAACAACAGGCAGCAATACAAACAACAAACACTCTGACAAAAGATATCTTTACTCAGAAACAAAAAAAAAGTAATTTAAAAACCCCTAAAAATAGGATCGAAGTACTAAGAACACATGAGTAATACTGGCACAACAATGTAAAATCTGTTTGGCACAGTCTGTGTCATCACAGTTATTGCAAAGTAATAACTGGAGAAACAAATGCAACAATGATTTTTCTTTCTGCTGAGGTATGTGGAACAAAGGTTAATTTTTTTTTTTTTTTACCACTGTACAGGATGCTTTGTACCCCACAGAGTACCTTGAAGGTGAGAAACTGTCTCTGGTAATAAGAAGTATTTACCTTGCCTAATGGCTATATATCGATGTATTTTTATTAGCAGATTTAATGTTGCACATAAATAGTAAATTTTGGATTAAAAAGTAAGATGGAGACGGAAACTAAATAGTCTTTTCTTCCTCTAATGGGAACACACACAGATTTTCTCATTAATGGCTATGCAAACTAAGCCCACMTAAAGGGGAACAGAGAGACTTCAACAACACCCAGCACGATGCCACTGTGAAGCTTTATTCTCCCAAGGAGTACAGACGACTTCACAACTYTCCTCCCTGTTACATCACTCTTATTTTAATAAACAACCAAACAGCAGCAATCACCATTATCTTATGCTACTCTAAAGATAAAAATATTACCTTTGATTAACAAGGACTCSTCATCCTAGACCCTGTTTGCATTGTGCAGAAGACACCAGGAGAAGCTATTTTAGCTGTGCYCTAAAACTCCCTCGGGGTGTTTCTGCAGCTCTGGGAGCTCCTGTCCCCTGTCCCCTGTCCCGCTCACCGATTCCGTATGCACGGCGCAGATCCCACCTTGTCCGGCTGCCCAGCCGGGCACAGCCTGCGAACAATGCCGCCTCTGTCAGCCCGCCCAGCGAGCGGTGCCACAAAGACACGCTCACCCACAGCCCCGGACTGCTTCCTTTTTTTTGTTCTTCTGCTTCTTCTTGGAGTACAGAGTGATGAGAGCGGACGGGAGAGAAGTGCTCGTGTATTTGTGTCCAGGAGCGAGACGCTGTCAGCGCATCCCCACGGGCATCCCGGTGCCTAGAGGGGAGATGGAATCCGCGCTGGAAAGAGCCCTCCCTGCCTCGCTTCGCACATTTTTGTTTCGGATCCGTGGGTGGTTGCATGAGCAAGCAGCCGGAATAGGGGAGGAGTTAGACAAAACGCAATTTAGGACTTGGAAGCCTTGCCTGCCGTGTCGAGAGCGGGACGAGGAGGCGAAATCGCAGCGCACTGAGACAGCGCCGTGCCCGTCCCACCCTCCTGTGCCACCTGCCTCTCCCGAGTTCCCGGGAAAGCGCCTCTCCCTGCCTGGCCCTGATCCCCGGGACACAGCACAGGCACAGCAGCTGCTCTCGACCCCTCAATAACCACACTCAARAGCCTCTGAGCACGCTGCCTGTTCGCTCCTGCCCCACAGCGTTACCGGTGCAATTTTCCAGGAGGCACGATGCTTCATGATCTTCATGAGCAACTACAGGATGAGACAATAAACGACATCTCAGCAGGTGCTTACAGCTGTCACTAGGCGGAGGAGGCAGCACCACCTAAAATCTCAGTTTTCTGCAAAGCTTTCCTTGGAAATCAGAGGGGGAAAGCTGAAAGCACTTTCAAAATCAGATGTCCATAGTTTTCCTGTTTTGAAAGGACTATCATGTGCATATATTTCATGCAACTTCAGCTTTGTTTTCTTTCTTGTCAGAAAATGAGAAGCAAYCTGGTCTGGCTCAAGATGAGACAGTGATGATCCCTGCTGAAACCAATTAGAATATTACAGTTCAACTCAAATATTCCCAAGCAAAACTCTACAATAGATGTGAGATATTTCACCTTCCTTCACATTAACTCTAGTCMAGACCTTAAAACATTTCAAGCAACAATGTGTTTTCTTCTTGAAGCAAATAGCAAGGGACACACAGAGGTTGGGTGCAGCACAGCTATGAACTCATTCCAGGTCCCTGATGAACCATTGCAGCCTGACAGTACTTTCCCATGCAATTAGTATTAATTGGTGACTTGCTGGCACTCTCCCAAGGGCCCTATCTCACCCTTTTAGCCAGTCCTACCAGTTCAGGCTCGAGATGACGATCAGGGCTGGGCAGCCATCCTGCTGCCCCGCCTCTCAAAGCTCTTTCGTGCTYTTAAATTTTTGGGGACTTCGGCAAGGGTTACCTTGAGTAATGAGCAATCAAAGATATGCCTCTGCCAAATTAACACGTTTAAATTCGTAACATGAGAGCAAAGTAAGAGGGTGACTTCTAGAGGGAATTTATAAGCATATTTTGAAAATACATTGTTTCAAAGCATTTCACTGAGGCTAAACTCCAACTAATTTTGAGGAGAACTGAGCAGCAGTGATCAGTTCAGCACCTGGATAGTAACAGACCAGTTAAACTCTGCATCTTGTACTCAAAATTAAGCTGATAAATGAGAGTAAATGAACAATCATGTCTTCTAATTTTATTCTTTAATAAMAATTCTTAAGGATGCTATTTTCTTTTATCTATTAATAAGATAAAATTTGTCTTAAGCATCTTGTCAAATGGACTTAAGCAGGATCAAGAGTGCTTTACATCAGCAGAGCCGCACAAGTCCACGGCAATAAATAAAATCAGATGTGCTTTGACTGAACATTGTAAACACCAAGAACATTTCAGAGTAGCTCCCAAGGTAAGTATCACAGTATGAATCTCTTTTTKCAGAATTACATAAGTAATCTCAAAACTCCATATACCAGTATTCTTTAAAAACCAGTGCTGAGGTGGTTATTTGGAGTTAAAAGGATGTCAGAAAAGAGAAGTGAGCAGGGGTCAGCCTATACACACCATTCAAGAGCTAGAAAAGGATGCAACATCTAATGGTAAAATATATTAGGAAATGCTTGTGGCCAGAGGCAAGCAGAAATACTTCAACTAAAACAGGTCAACTATGATCAAGAGCAGTGTCCAACAGGCCAGCTTTATTCCTCCTCCCTTTTCTGCTTCTCCTAAGTTCCCAGTCCACACAAAACAGTGATACTCTTCTTGTATCACTTTTGTCTTTTACTGTTCATTATTTAGAAACCACAGTATAACATCAATAGGTGCCCAAAAATGGTGTATTTTGGTTTGGAGGTAGMTAAGTACACTAAAGATGGTTATTTCTCTTGGAAATCTTGAGTCTGGAGTGGAGGAGCCTGCCTGTGCCATCTCACTTCACCTCTAGCATGCCGTACCTTTAGG